ATAAGCAACTTTTTCTGACATCCATAGCATTTAATTAGCATGCAAATGTCAGGAGCAAAACTAGACATGAACATAGGCAAGAAGTCCAAAGAAAAGCTGATCTTGGTGAGGAAGTCTAGTTGCTGAGATGGCCAATATTAAGGTTTAGAAATTCTGCTGCAGTCTTTTGATGAAAAGATGGTCCTAACAGATATTTTATTAGCACCCAATCATGGCAATGCACAATTGGAGCTAAGAATATTTCCTTTTAACTCAACTTGAAAATATGTACCGGAGGCCTACTATGTGTTAAAGCACTGTGTTAATCCCTGGTGATATGATGATGGTTTCTAGCAATGAGAAATATACAATCCATTGGTGCTTGATGGAGGGACAGGATGACTGATTATGAGGTCATTATATGGCAGTGGTTATCAAAGTGGTGGTTCCTGACCCGCAAGATCAGCACCACCTGGAAGCTTATGAGAGTTGCGACAAGAATTTCTGAATCAGAGGCTATTGGGGCAGGGTGAGCATTTCACCATCCCCCCAGATGGCTTTGACACATGCTCAAGTTTGAGAACCATACTTCTACATAAAGAAAATAAAAAGAGGTGCATAGTTGTGCAAAGGAAATGTAAAGAGAGCAAAAGAGGACATTCTGGCAAATGCAGACAGGAAAGGGGCCTAACCCCCCCACCACCACCACCATAAAAAAAAAAGGGGGGGGGGAGGAGGAACAGACAGAACATTAAAAGAAAAGAAAAGAAAAGAAAAGAAAAGAAAAGGAAAGAAAAGAAAAGAAAAGAAAAGGAAAGAGAAATTTTCCACAATGAAGAGAAGACTGTTTTCAAATAAAGAGAACTAGGCAGAGGGGTCCATCAAATCTGGTTGGAGAAGTGCCAGTTGGGTAGGTAGGCCAAGAGGATATTTGCGGAATCAGGCCTGGGAGTGGGCAGAAGATAGGGTGAGGGTGCTGAACACTGAGCAGGGAGGAGGGGAGAGAGGGCAGAACAGGCCATATTTTCAAGCTTTACATCCAGCAATGGAAGAAATGCAACTCAGTGGCTGTTTGAAGAGGGAGAAGGAATATGGGAAGATTCTTTAGATTGAAGGAAATGAATAAGTTCATGGTTGAGAAGAGGGCCCAGTGATTTTAGAAGGTGTAAAGGGAGAGAATCAAACACAGGGATGTGAAGGAGATAAGGGCAGTTTATTTGCTGAGTTAAGAGGCAAATACAGAATGATTCTAGCTTTCAACAAATATTTGAGTACCTGCAATGGCACTGTTCTAAGTATAATGAATAAAATAGACAAATGCCTTTATTCCTGAAGTTTACATCCTAGTGGGGGAAAACACTGGTCTAGAAAAAGAAAATGAATGAGCTGCAATCTTTCTCGACCTCTTTAAAAGTAATGCCAAGCATTGAAGGTGCCCCCTCACTGTGGCCCCAACTCAGTGGCCACAGCTTATGTAGAACTGATTCCAAACTCCCACTCCTCTGAGGTGAACATCCCCTCGATCCTGTTTAGCATAGACACTGGCACTAAAACTGAGTAAGCTGGTGAGATGGAAGTTGAGTCACATCATTTTTATGAAGCTGAGCAAGGGCTTTGACACTCAGAGGAACACCGAATTAATTCAAGACACATTTCTAGCTCTCAAAAGGGTTGTAGTATTGGTTTGGCTGGTGGACCACCCAACATCCATTAGGATGGAGAAACCAGATCTTCACTTTGGGCTCCTTGTGCTGCACGGAGTGACAGGCCAGGAGATGAAACGGGTCTCCGTGCATGTGGGACGCACGCGAGCGACAGGCCCACAGGCCTGCAGCCCCCCAGCCTGTATGCATTAATTCCACCAGCAGCCAGGCTGCAGGGCGGAGGTGGCTGTTTGTGCATAAACACTGTCATTTCACTGGGACTTCTATTTCATCTTTGAACCTTGGCTTCAAAGGAATACTGACCTTATTCCTGTAGCTTGCCTTTCTTTGAAGCGCATGGCTTTGCATTGCAGATTAAAGTGAAGACATTCATCAAGGAAGAGATCTGGCCAACGCTCCCCCAAACTCCACCCGAAACAAAGCCTTGAAAGGCTCCAATCACAGGAGCAGGGGAGTGGGCTGGGGATGAAGGCTTGGAGCTGGGCCCTCTTTCTTAGATCCTGTCCTGTAAGGCAGTTCCGGTGTGACATAGTGCTTCCCTTTGAGCGTTGGGCGACTTTACCCTGAGAGTCTGTCTGTCTCAGCAGAAAGGGGCGAGTTAAACGCACTATCCCCAACCTGTCCTGCTCATTTTATTTAAAGCAGGCATTGTCGTAAATGAGGCCAACATGATCATTCAGCTGCGCCTTTGAATTCTTCAAAAGACGTGTCAGGGAGAACCAGCTGAAACTCGGCTGATGACTGTCAATTTTCTTTCCTATTACTTTCCTTTGTTCATTCCTTTGAAAAGAAGCTGTCCTCTCTTTCTCCCCGGTTCTCCTGTCTCAGTTCTAAGAAAATTAGCAATTCACACAAGTCTCTGTTACTTATTTCTCTCTTGTGAGAGGAGTGAGGTGAGGAACTTGAACTGAGAGGTTAAAAGTAATAACCAAATAATTATAATTTTAAGGCAAAGAAAGAGAACAAACAAACAAAAAACATAAAAAGAAAACAAGGGAACTATCTCCCACTGCAAATGAGTAAAAACTGCTGATAGACAACTATCAAAGGAGAAATCGTTATGTCTTTAATGTAATTTTTCTGCAGACCTTCAACTATGATTAGCTACACACAGCTAGTTCTGTTTGGGACGAAGGGGTAAAGCAATCCAGAGGGAAGAAGAAAATGATTGTCAAGTTGGGTACATGAAAACATACACACAAAAGGCTTAAGAAATATGCAAATTTTGAGAATAATTTTTTTCTAGTTATTCATCTGTAAAATAAGACAAAGGATAATTCTGTTCATTGTAAGACTATTCACTTAACTTGCTCGTCAGCATAAGTCTCAAATCATTGTTTTCCATGATGAAGTGGGTGAAGTTCAAAATCATTAAGTGGCATGTGAGAAACCAGTGGTGCCAGGCCAGTTTTGTACCCATCATGAGAACTCATGTGGGAATGGAGGAGCTGTACTTCTAGCTTCAGTTTAAAAGACTGAAATATATCTGCGTATCCATGTCATATCCGAATCCCTTAATATACTATGCTCCCCAAATGTGAGTGGCCATGTGACTAGTTTGGGCCAGTGGACTGCAAGCAAAGTGATTAGTGTCACTTCCAGGTTGATGCTCTCTTTCTCTCCACCATGGTGCCCAAGGAGACCATATGCTGAGATGGCCAAGCCTCAAGCTATCAGCAGCGTGAATCCCTGACCTTATGGAGGCAAACTTTGCAGAGAATTGTCTGATTTGTAATATATGTGGTACAAACAAGAAATAAACTTTGGTTTTGTTAAACAACTGGGAATTTCAAGGCTTACTTGTTATGGCAGCATAACTTAGCCTGACTAATCCAGGACCCTTGAAATATGGTCTGAATTCTTGAACACCTCAAGAATCACAGCAAATAACATAGCGAGCAATTATATAATGCTTACTATAGGATTGTTTTCAGACGTAATTTGAAGTATTTTACATATCTCACAAAAACCATAACGCATCAATAATATTTCCCTTATTTTACAGCCAAAGGAAATGAAGCATAGAGAAGTAACTTGCTCAGGGTTAAACAGAAAAGTTAAGTCATTTGCCTAAGGCCACACAGTGAGTAAGTAGTATTCTAGGTGTCAAAGCCAAGGAGTTGCTTATGCCCTTAACCATCACACCATGTGGCTTCCCTAGAATGGGTTTTCATTTCCTTTTTACTCAGACTGCTCAATAAGACATGGAGTAATAAAATCCAAAAGACAAGACTGGAAGGGATCCTAGAGCTCAATCAATAGCTGTCTTTTACATGGGGGAGGAACAATATCACTTTGAGAGTCATTTTCCTGGTTTTGTGAAAAAAAAGTCTATCTTGGGAGTTTTCAAACTAGCGACCTGGGGGATCACTAGGACTCAGTATAAAGGTCTCAGGGGCCACCAGTTTGGAGATTAGAACAGACCAATCCTGTTCTAATAGATTTTATATAGTAGGCTTCTAGGTAAAATTTGTATGTGGCTATTCTGCTGCTTTGATAAAATTGAAGAATGATGGAGTTCTGTAGGCTTCCACTGAAATAGTAGGCTTGTAAGGCTGAACTAAATAATAGGACTGCACATCAGCTGGGAGGTGGGGTAAGAAACATGGATGTTTAGCTTAGTGGCCAGTTCTGGTCCCATATAATTTGCTACTTCCATGAATGCATTTTCCAGATATCTGGCAGCAAGAAATGACTAATTCACCACTATTATATGCAGTAAAGATCTATAAATTATATCTGAAAGGTAGAAAGAGATCTCTAAGAATTTTTGATGAAACAATATTTCAAAAAGAAGATTAAGCTCATTTGGGTTGAGCAAAGTGACACACTTTGGCTATAGTGACCCAATTTCAAAGAAATAACTGGAAAGTTTTCATTGTGTGCTCGTTTGTCCATGACCAAATGTTGCATTTCCTTTCCCATGAAAGAAAGGCAGAAAGAAAGAACAAAAGGAAGATGGGTAGAAAGATTAAAGAAAAAAGAATATTAATTAACTAATAGCCCTGAGAAAGCACAGGCAAACACATTTGTTAAAAATTATTTGCTTAATTTTAAACACAACTAATACACAATATTATCCAAATTTGCTGATCACATTAAGAAGTAAATGAGAAAGTTTTAATTGCTTTTAAAAAGCATTCCTTTTTTGTGCACTTACAGCAGTTCTAGTACATATGTGTACTATGTATAATGTGTATCAGATACTATTTATGTACACATGGCTTGATTTATAAATTGAGTTATATTAAGTCGAAGGTATATATTACAGGAGAGAAAAATTGATGATGCAAAAGGACACAAAGAGGGGTCTAGAAAGGATTTCAAGGGAGCAATGCTCACCGCTGACCCACTTACCTTGTGTGGTCCCATCCAGTCCCATGATGAATTTCATTGATCTGATGATTTGTTCTGCTATTGGGGGGCTCATGGAGGTAGCATAAACAGCACTGTGTGAGTGAACCCGTAAATAATCCACAAGGTCCTTTAATAAAGGAGGTAAATTCAAAAAGAAAACAAGTAAGTCTCAGGGTTGGTGATGAAAGTCACATCAACCCGATTCATCATAGCATGAGACATCTGATTCTTGAATGTGCTCCGATTTTTAATAGGCATTACCAAACTTTTTTTTTTTAATAGCTCTTCTTAGTTTCTCCCTCAAAACCTTAGAAGGTATACAATAAAGGCAACAACTTTGGAGTTAAGGTCTGTAAAGCTAAACCAGATGTGTAAGAGAAATGATTTCCCAAACATTTGTTGAGTATTTAGTATGTACAAGCACTGGCTTGGTATTCAGGAGTGTCTAAAGAATACAGGATGTGATCTTGCCATTGTGTATACTACATTACATTGTGCCTATAGAAAAGTAATGGTAGGAAAAGTAACAAAAAATAAACTAATATATGCAACAGAGCTATAGAATGCAGTGAAAAGAGAGGGAGTTATTGCTAGCTGGAGTAGGTAGGGAAAGTTCCAGCAAGAAGGTGAAATTACGTTTTGAAAAAAAAAAAGACAAATATAGAACAAAAGAAAACTTGAATGGGGGATAGAGTGGCAGAAGGGAGAAGTGTGAAATTAAACCACAGTATAGATCAGAACCAGATAAACTCTGGTTATGCCTTGGGTGGTAGGAAATGACTGAAACTTCAGTGCAATACTATTTAGAGTGTTGATTCACTATAGAATACTGATCCTCAGTGGGAGGAATGATTGACTCCTAAGGCCAAACCTAAGGTCCCAGGGAAGTCTGCTGAGAGCCTGAAGAAGCTCCTAACGTCATAAGAGGGCCAAAGAGCTGGCATCTGGAGCTGGTTCAGTTTCAGCTGGGAAGACCATCTATCTTCCCACCTGTACTGGCTCCTTGCCTGGGACCTTCAGGGTGTTCTGCAGAAAAGCTAATGGGCTGATGACGGCTCTGTGTGTTAGCAGTGGGGTCTGTAAAGGATCAGCCACCTTCTCTTCTAAGATAACAAGAGAGTTTAGAATCCCACTGAGATGTCTTATCAATTGTTCCCTCATGTAGGTGAACTGGGGGGGGGGGGGAGCTGTGTTTTTGGCAGGCTCATCTCTTCATAACCTCCCCTTTATTGGCCACATCCATGTCCACCTCTGAACCTTGAAGTGTGCACCATCCTCCACTTTTCTATTTCACTTGGGGTCTGGTGCCATGGTTGTTCACAAGCATTGTAAACATTCATAGCTCATCTTCAAGAAAGAGAGTGACCTGCCTTATAGCTGAATATGGTAATATGATGCCTTTACCCAGCCCAGGGAAGGGGAACTGGTAGCTCCATTCTGTCCTTCCTGCATCCTTCATATGCCCTTCATTCTAAGTCCCCTCTTCATACGTCATTCTTCCCAAAATCCTCTCTCTCTTCTCCTCCATTTCACACTTTTTTTTCCATTCCTTTTTTGGTCTCTTTCTCCTTCCTTCTACTCTGAGTCTGACCTCTTCTTTTAATTTCAAATTCTTTACTTAATTTTTTTTAATCTTGTTTTTTGTTTCCTCCCTCCTTCCTTCATTTTTTTTCTTTTCTCTTTTCTCTCCCTCCTTCTGCCCCTACCTTTTTGCTCTGGGCTATATTCTGGATGTGGGAGTCCAAGAAGAGAAGACAGGTATAAAAACTAGTTCTTGGCAGGTATTATCCACTTATCTTAAAATTAAAATTCGATTCTGTCTATTCTTTTGTTTAGTGAATCTCATAAAAACAGCTGGGTTGGCTTTCACCTTATTTGAAGACTTATGTGCATGATGATGGCCTGACCTAAGGCACTGGCCACAGGCATTTGTGAAGTTCATTTTGGAGGATGGTGGCAAGGTTGAGAGAGAGAGAGAGAGAAAGAAAGAGAAAGAGAGAGAGAATCATTTCTCAGAGCAGCTGCACCAGCTCTGTGCTCAGTGCTTATTTTTGAGCAGCAGCTGGGGTTTCCTTTCTCTGTTGAGAGCTGATGCCACCCAGCAGGATGTCAGATGCTGATGCGGAGACCTTGGAGGGTGCAGGCGACAGGATGATGGGTGCTCCTAGGGACTTGAGTCAGGAAAGGTCTGTTTCAGGGAGGTGGTCCAGTCTTGAAGGATGGGTAGATTTGGATATAGACAGAAGAGGAGAAAATGGTAGGAAAAGTATGGACATGTGCTAAAACTAGGAATACAGATGGCATCTTATTCAGCAAACAATGGAGGAGTTGATTGGGAGTAGAGAGAGAAGCTAGTGCTTCCAAAAAAGGTGATGGGGGGTTATCTCCTTGAGAGAAGATATGACCTTGGAGTTACAGCACAGGCTCTAGAATCTGATTGCTCAGGTTCAAGCCCTAGCTCTGGCACTTACTGATTTGTGACCAAATTACTAAACCCCTCTGTGCCTTCACTTCTTTCTCGGAAAAATGAGAAAATAGTTATGTTTACTTCAGAGTCATTATAAGGATTAAATGAGTTAATACACATATGGTGCTTAGAGTAGATCTGATACATAGTGAATACCTGATGCTGTTAGCAAGTATTAATAGATTGCCAATTTAGAGATTTTTAGAAATGGGAGCATGAGGTGGAAGGAGGGGACCAAAATATAAAAACTCCTTGGAGTCCTTTTATTCCAGCTCCCTTATTTTGCAGAGAGTAATGTTTGAGGGCTATGATATAATCATAGATGAAACTCATTGGCTGGCTGAGGTTCCATTTTACAAACTTTACATGTGTTAACGCATTTTAGCTTCATAAAAGCTCTATGAGATAGGTACTGTTTTCATCTCCATTTTACAGATGGGATTGCTGAGTCATAGAAAGGATCAGAAAAGAATTCAACCAAAGAGTGGTTGGATAACAAGGTTTTAGACCCAAAGTGTCTGACTCTAGAGCTAACACCACACTGTACTACCTCTCCAGACTGGGGAGGAGGGACCAGGAGGACACAGAGAAGATCACCTTCACTTTCCCTTTTTCCTAGTCCACAGGGATATTCCCTCTTTTTTGGAGAGGATGTTATAATTCCTTATATATTCAAGTGTTTCTAGAGATGAACATTAGATTGAACTGCATCAGTATCAAATATTTCACATATATTAATCTTATTTCTCCAAAAAGACTAAAACCTCCTTGAGAGCAGGGAACAGAGTTATACACTTCTCTGAAAATCCATAGAGGTGGCTACTTAGCAGGGGTCTGGTAAATACTGATGGTCTAATGGAGAGCGTGGGCCTTTTAAGGATTGAGGAAGGAAGGTGAGGGTCCCTGAAGGATATACAGGGAAATTAAACAGCATTCTACAGAAACACACACACACACACACACACACACACACAAAAAAAAAAAAAAACACCAAAAAAAAAAAAACACTATAGTGATACTCTCTTAGCCTTGGGGCACTGCTGACAAAGATCAGACAAAGAAACAAAACAAAGGTGCCTTTGATCCCTCAAGGGCTCTTCTCAAAGTCCCCAACCTTCAACGTTTCTTAGAAAATCAAGAAATATCATAAGATCAGATGCATTCTGTTAGAATAAATGCCTCCTCAATGCAATATCACATCATTTTAACATTAAGCCTATCTTGCCCATAATCTTCTTTCTCCGAGATGGAGTCCACTGTCTATTAGAGTCTGAGTGTATGGACAGGGGCTAATTTGCTTAGGTGGTTTAGAAAGTGAGGTTCTTTGAGTAACTTCTGCAAAGCATCAAGGAAAGCCTTGTTTTCTGTATTTCTTTCTTTCTTTTTTTTTTTAATTCCCTCTTAGCATTCCCCCATTGGGTGCCACGAGCCATGAATTAAGAGTTGGCTTTGGTCTTTTTTGCAAGGCGGGTCTGGGTTGTGTCTTCCTTCAGGGTGGGTTAGAGGTCTTCTTAGACCGAAGTTTCCATGTCCATTTGTACGTTCAAAACCCTGATTATTTTCTCTACCCATAGGCTTGAAGTTCAAGGACAAGGGTGGCTTTTCTGAGAAAATCAGACAGGAGACTCTTAGAATAAACATCTTGGTGTTCATTCCATGACCCCCATTTACTTCAAAGGGCTGTTAAATGCAGCCAGGGCTGAGCACGCAGGGCAGAGCTGGCTTCTGCAAGGGGCCTGCCTTCGTCTGGCACACAGGCTTCTGGGGCTGATGCTCTCTCCATACGTGGCTGCCTGTTCCCGCTGCCCTCCTCCAGAATTCCAGCCCTGCAACCTATCAATCATGAAGGCTACCTTTGCTTCATTCATTTGCAAGCCTCTGGTCAGTCTGCGGAGGCTATGAAAGATAGGGGTCAGCACCAGGCATGCAAGAGAACTCAAGATCACGCCTGAGAAAAACGTGAACTCCCCAAACTGGATTTGCAGTGTCAACCCATCTCCCCAGCAACTGGATCAATACAAATTAAAAAATAAGAAACCTAGCCCCATCATCTCAGACATTCTTTTAAAAAGCTGTTCAAGGCATGGAGCTCTGACAGGTGAAGACAATTACCTGACATTTCACCTCAAAAGTCTTAAAAGGACAGAATCCTCCAAGTTGAGTTGTTCACAGATCATCTAGAGCAGCTCCCAACTCAAAGTGAGCAAAATTGCAAAATCTTGCTGAACTTTAAGAGACCTTTTTTTCAGTAGTTTCTCTGAAGCGGGAGAGAAGGTTGAGACCAGGGCAGTGCACTCCAGGAAACAGAGATAAATTTGTAGGACACTTTGTGACAGGAAGACGGAAGCCAAGATAAGATCTCTACTCTCTGAGGTACCATCATAGGAGCAAACCATTTCCACCCCTTGTTTCCAAATATTTTTTTCTTACGTGAGGCATCTGGTTGCTAATGCACATAGTTCTCACCTTGACAAACTTTACCAAGATTTCTAGTCTCCTAGTAACTGTTATGAATATTCCTCTGTGACTAACCCTAACATTGACATTAAATCTTTTTCTAGATTTTTAAATCCAAACAATTATTTTTAAATTACAAGATTTTACTAAGAACCATATGAACATAGTAAATTTGAAATTATCAAGGTTTCATACAAGTGTAACGTCCTCATAAAAGTGAGTGTGAACACTTTTTATGGTTAATTTTGTTGTTTTTGTAATCATTGGTTTAGAATCCTGGATTATTTTGAAATACCCATCAAATTGAGACATATACTGAAAATTATCCATGAAAAATTATATGGTGAAACTCTGAAAACTGTACTCTAATTATTTAAATAGATAAGTAACAAGGTTTTTTTTTTTCTCAAGCAAAAGCATTAGCATTTGCTCAACTCTATGTCCTATTAGTAACTAATAATTAGTTAAAAAACATAGTTTAAAACAAATACCAAGTAAAAACTTGCCGCAAATTTATTAAAAGTCCAGAGGAATAAAAATTTCATTTAAATCAAAACTGTACATAATTTAAAATTAACATAACTTTAAAAAAAGTACAGAGCTGAAACCTGTTTGGCTCAGTGGATAGAGCGTTAGCCTGCAGACTGGAAGGTCCCAGGTTCGATTCCGGTCAAGGGCATGTACTGTACCTTGGTTGCAGGCACATCCCCAGTAGGGGGTGTGCAAGAGGCAGCTGATCTATGATTCTCTCTCATCAGTGTTTCTAACTCTCTATCCCTCTCTCTTCCTCTCTGTAAAAAAATCAATAAAATATATATTTTTTTAAAAAGGTACAGAGAAGCAGATATAAAAGTATAAAAGTTCCATTAACTCGTTTGGTTGGAAGGAAACCATAATTTATCTGGGTTTATTCCAGTCTCACCAAAACCATCCCAGACAGGTGTGTACCTGATTGATTTTTAAATCATCAGACACTTTCTCAGGTGGCCTTCTATCTCCTGCTCACCCTTCAGGTCTTGAAAACTGGCCTTTGCTGATTGGGGCAGAAGAAGGTCTCTATGCATAGGCTGTAATGGATCTCTGCCAAACACTCCCTAATTCTTGCTGCCATCTAGTGGTCAATTCAGAGCCTGCAGGGCAACATGAAGGAGAAGAGAGAGGGAGGGGAAGAGGAGGAGGAACAGGAGGAAGAATGATGCAGTCCTCTGGACCTAAGTATGCACAGAATGAGTATTCTAAAGAGCAAGAAAGTGAACAGATAGGCATACATTTTCTGTATACTGATTAAGTAAATTATAGTAGTTTTCACAATTGCTCAGTATGTACTCCCAAATGAAGAGAAGCTACATAGACAAGAGCAAATAAACCTTTAAAATAAGTCTACTGACTTTGGGATGGAGAGTGTGAAATAAAACTGTGAGCTGGTCCTTACTTCAGGATAATCCTAAGCATTTGTTTAACGTGATATCAGAGGAAGGAACTCTAAGGGGGAAAATGTGAAATCTAACACATTTGACAATATTTCAAGGACACACTAAGCATCCGTTTATTCAGGTGCCTTTGGATCAAGAAAAAAGAGTTAAGCATGGTTAAAATTTCTGTAGCTCAGAACTGCTGCTAAAGTAATCACAAAACCACAGGCTCACGAAGCCCTGGAGCCAGAGAAGGCAGTTAGGGCATCTGAGACCCTCTGGTCCCACTGCTTCCATGCTCCAGGGAGGGCGCATTTCACCCTGCTCCAGATGTAGCCGAGTTTGCTAGGTTCCTGGGCACACCCTAGGTTTCTAGCATCACCCGGCTAATTCCCACAGGATGGAAAACAATGCTTTGAGCTTGGAAAGAAAGTAGTGCTTAGTGAAGGGGGAAGATCACTGAAAATGCTGAACATCTGAAGCATTTGTGCAGCTCATGGCAGGACCGCAATGAAATCAGTTGTTTTAAACCTCAGGGTTCAATGACCGCAGTTTCCAGCTATCCTCCCTGTTTGTCTAATTGGTTTACCAGGAGTCTTTGTTCCTGCTGATTACAATGATCAAGGAACTAGGAATTTTAGATAAGCTGTTGATGTCACTTGTATGCATTGGTGTGGGGCCCGCTGTGCCCTCTTGGGCAGAGCCAACACCACTGCTATGCAGTCTCTTCGGCTCAGGCATAGACTTATATGACAGAGCTATCAGGATTTGTATAAAACTCTCATAATAATGAAGCAGGCAACTGTCTCCTTTATCCCTCAACCTCAGGTTTGAATATCTCACTTTCTTTTTCTGCTTCCCTCTTCTTTCAAATTTCATTTAAACATTTACTGGTTTATAATGGCAACCCTCTTGGTGACACTGGCACTAGAATGAATGGAGTCTAATCACATCAGATCAGAATTTTTAAGGTGTATAGATAATAGAAGATGACAAGATTTGATTACCACTTCTCCAAAGAAAACTCATAAAAAGCATGTTTCTGATCTTGCGACTATTTTGATTAAAACCACTGTGGCACAGGGTTCTGAATATCTGACCTTTGCCCACGGTTGCTTTGTATTTTCATGCCCCCAAAACACACTCCTTACAGTTTTATAGCACCCCCTTATCATTTCTAAGGTTGGGTATATAGAAACACAATCCCTCATCATTTGTCTGCAAAACAGACATTCATTCTAAGAATTCTTCCCTGTAGTTAACCATCCTCTGCTTAGCACTATCTTGGCCTGTGTACACAGATAGGGTGGCTGTTGTATTCTAATCTGATCACTCATCACAGGCTCCTCTGCACTGTCAGGGGGTGAGCTCCTTGACATTCTGGGTGCTTCTTGGCTGTGGAACTCCTGTCGTGATCAAGTGAGGTGTGCGGAACTCAGAGAAGCCCTCAGACAGCGTCCCCAAATTGTTCAAGGTTTACAGGGACACAAGAAGCCCCTCTCTTACCTTCCTTCCAGCTATGTAACCTCCCGAGGCTCCAAAGCTTTTGGTGAATGTGCCCATAAGCACATCGACATCTTGAGGGTCCATTCCAAAGAATTCCGCTACTCCCCGGCCAGTCGGGCCCACAGACCCAATACTGTGAGCTTCATCAATGTAGAGGTAAGCCTTGTATTTCTTCTTTAGAGCCACGATCTGGGGCAGATTCACAATGGAACCTTCCATGCTAGGGCATAAGGAGAAATGCTCATCACTAGTGTGTACCCTCCTGGGAAGCTCTGCCTCAGTTTCCCTTTCAGTATTTCTTAGTTAGCCCACCCTGATGCCAGTCGGGGTTGACAGGGATGTGCCACTCCTTTCTTCTTAAGAGCTATCTTGTTTGGCTGAGACAGCCTTCTCAATCTTATAAGGCTAATCTGGCAGAATTTTATATGAAAAAGTAATTGACATTCAGTGGGTTTTAGTGCTTTGAGTTGTTATAGCTAATTCCCAAGACAACAAGCAGCTCACAGCATTGTTGATCAATTTATTTGTAAAGATGACTAGTTTAATTGGACTCACCAATACAGGTTTGGGACATTTTGCTAGTTTTAATTAAATTGCTCTATGTGATCCATCCTTATCAATCTGCCACTGTCTATTTGGCCAGCTCTATCTGACCTAAACTCAGTGCTTGAACTGCCAAAGATTGAAAGAAGGAATAAAAACTCACAAAATAACTTTATTTAGGGCACATAGTATTAATTAAACCACAATAGAAAGGTCTTAGGATCTCTTCATACAGTCATCCCCACTTATCCTTGGGGCTACATACTAAGACTACAGTGGATGCTTGAAACTGAGGGTAATCTGAACCCAATATATAATATGTATTTTTCCTATACACATATCTAGGATAAAGTTTAATTTATGAACTAGCACAGTAAGCCAAGCCGGCATAGCTCAGTGGTAGAGCATCAATCAACCTATGAACCAGGAGGTTATGGTTTGATTCCACATCAGGGCACAGATTACTGGTTCTATCCCCAGTGTGGGGTGTGCAGGAGGCTGCCTATCAAATATTCTCTCATCATTGATGTTTCTATCTCTTTCTCTCCCTCTCCTTTCATCTCTGAAATAAAAATATATATTTTAAAAAACAAACAAATTAGCATAGTAAGAGAGTAGCAATAATAACAAATAATAAAACGGAGCAATTATAACAATATACTGTAATAACAGTTATGTAAATGTGGGCTCTCTCTTTGATAGCTGGTCCAAAGACTGAGACGACTACTACAGTAAGTGGCTGATAGTCAGAAAGTGTACACAAGTGTGGGATACTCAGGACAAAGGGCTAATTCACATCCTGTGTGGAATGGAGACATTTTATCATGCTATTCAGAATAGTGTGCAATTTAAAACATATGAATTGTTTATTCCTGGAATTTTCCATTAATATTTTTGGACTGTGGTTTACCACATGTAATTGAAATGGTAGAACCTAGAACTGAGGATGCCGGAGACTGTACTCACTGGAAGTCAGGGGTTCATTTGAGGCATCTGGTGGTGTCCCCTCTTTCTTTTCCTTTAGGGCCACAGTTCTCAATCTGCAGTGAGCATGAGAATCCCCTGAGTGGTTTATCGAAACACAGATCTCTGGGCCCATCCTCAGAGTTTCTAATTTAATAGGTCTGGAATGGGATGAGAATATGTGTTTTTACCAAGCTCCCAGAAAAGGCCCATATTGCTCAATGGGACAACACTTGAAGAACCACTGCTGTAGATAAACTGTTTTTGTTTTAAGCCCTACGTGCTGAAGGCTTCATGGTATTGCAAATTGCAAAAACACTTCAAGTTCTCCAGCGATGGGAAAAATATGAAGTGAATACGTAAGTAAAATTGTAACTTATATTTACATGGCACCTCTGGAACTCGGGGATGTAAAAGAACTCTTGACTTGAATCAGCGCTCAGAACACTGGGAAGCTGTGTCCCCACCGCACACAGTTTGGACTGCACTGACAGGAGTTCTATGAAAACACACAGACTCGCACCCTCACCACACAAAGGGGTTTGTCAAACAATTCAAGCAACCCGTCAATTCTGTTCAAGAGCTAATCAACTGACGCAAACAGAGAGTTGAACTTTTCCTTTCTTCCTGATTAGTTTATTTATTAAAGTTAATACATTTTTAAAAATAAACTTAAGTGTTAGGTCAATTCAATCAAAACAGTCCAGCTGGTTGTATGATTACCCAGGCCAATGGTGTTGGTTTGGAGGGAGTGTGTGTGTTTAAAGGACTTCTTTTTTTTTTTTTTTTTTTTAGAGCAGTTTTAGGTTCACAGCAAAATCGAGTGGGAGATACAGAGATTTCTCATATACTCCACGGTGTACACTCACACGTAGGCATAACTTCCCCTATTGTTAACATCCCTCACCAGAGTGGTACATTTGTTTTAATTGATGGACCTACATTGACACATTATCACCCAAAGTCTATAGTTTACATTAGGGTTCACTCTTGGTGTTGTACATTCTATGGGTTTGAACAAATGTATATATAATGACATGTGTCACCATTATATCATACAGATTATTTTCACTGCTCTAGAAGTCCACTGTGCTCTGCCTATTTACCCCTACCCCAACCCCAAGCCGTGGTAACCGCTAATCTTTTTATTGTCTCCATATTTTGTCTTTTCTTGAATGTCATATAGGTGGAATAATACACTATGTAATCTTTCTGGATTAGCTTCTTTCACTTAGTAATGCGCATTTAGTCTACCCCCCCCCCCCACACACACACACATAGCTTTCCATGGCTTGATAGCTCATTTCTTTTTAAGACTGAGTAATATTTGATGTCTGGATGTACCAGAGTTTGTTTATCCCTTCACAGACTGAATGGCACTTTGGTTGCTTCCAAGTTTTGATCATTATGAATAAAGATGCTATAAAAATTTATGTGCAGGATTTTGTGTAGACACACATTTTCAACTCTTTGGGGTAAATGCAAAGGAGCATGATTTTTGGGTTGTAGATCAGAGTATGTTTAGTTTTGTAGGAAATTACCAAGCTGTCTCCCAAAGTAGCTGCACATAAGAGAGTTGAACTTTTTGCAGTACCACCAGCAATGAACAAGAGTTCCTGTTGTGACACAACCTTGTCTGCATTTCATGCTGTTAGTGCTCCAGATTTTGGCTATTCTAATAGGTGTGTAGGTATCTCATTGTTGTTTCAGTTTGCAATTCTCTGATGACATATGTGAAGCATCTTTTCATACTTATATTTGCATATGTATATCTTCTTTTGTGAGGTGTTTGTTGGCTTATTTTTAATCAAGTTGTTGAACTTTGAGTTTGTTTATATTTTAGATAACAGTCCTTCATCAGCTATATCTTTTGCAGCTATCTCTCCAGTCTGTGGCTTGTATTTTAATTCTCCTGGCACTGTCTTTTGCAAAGCTGAGGTTCTTAACCTGTTAACTGAGCGGGACCTATAAATACATCAAACATAAACACTATCGGGAATGGGTAGGACATATGAAAACGTCCTTGAAATATATGTTGTGCCCTGAGAGGGAAGGTGTATATTTTTTGTAATCTTTTTTTTTAAATATATTTTATTGATAAATTGCTTGCTAAAGTTGTTTCCACTGAGGAGGGGGAGGTATAGCCATCTGATAACCTAAGTTTAGGTTGTAGCCATATAACTTGTGGACTAAGGATGTGGGCAGACTTATATGATGTTCTGTGTCTCAGTTTTCTCATCCTATCTAATAAAAGCATAATATGCAAATTGACCATCACTCAACACACAAGATGGCCACCTCCATGTGGTCAAAGATGGCTGACCCCATGTGGACACAAGATGGCCACCACAAGATGGTCTGCAGGAGAGGGCAGTTGTGGGTGATCAGCCAGCAGAGGAGAGCAGTTAGGGGTGACTGGGCCAGCAGAAGAGGGGGTGATCAGATCTTCAGGGGAGGACAGTTGTGGGGAAACAGGCCTGCCAGGGAGGACAGTGGGGGGGGGGGGGGTCCCAGACCTGCAGGGGAGCACAGTTGGGAAGGACCAGGACTGCAAAATAGGGCAATTGGGGGTGATCAGGCCTGCAGGGTAGGGCAGTTAGAGGTGACCAGGCCTTCAGGATTAGGCAGTTAGGGACAATTGAGCTGACAGGGGAGTAGTTAGGCATTGATCAGGTTGGCAGGGGAATGGTTAGGGGGTGATCAGGCTGGCAGGAAGAAGTGGTTAGGGGCAATCAGGCAGGCAGGTAGGCACGCGGTTGGGAGCCAGCAGTCCTGGATTGTGAGAGGGATGTCCCAGATTGGAGAGGTACAGACTGGGCTGATAAACATACTTCCTCCCCTGTGCACAGGGCCTCTAGTATGTAAAATAAGCATGACGACAGGACCCTCCTTATACCTTTTTTTTATAAGAATGATGATAAATAATGCTGGTAATGTGTCTGACATATGAATGCATGCTCACTGGGTTGTTCCTGATCTTAGGAAGAGCCTAGGAGAACATGGCTTGATGAGGCCTCCCTTGAGAAAGCGGGAGCCCTTGACAATGCTCTGTGTTGCATCTTCTAGGAAAGAGGCATATGGGTGTCATATATAATAAATGGCTCTATGCCTTCAAAATGCTAGAATTTACTTCTCATCTTTAAACTGTTTTAAGTTGGTAACACAAATATACTAAAAAACTTGACATGTCACAAATAACCATTCTTTGTTCTGGAACTGAATTTGGCAGGAGCCAGAGTTAATGTTGAACAGTTTGCAGACACTGGGGGCAGCTAATTAGCCATCCTTTGCTGGGGCTGGTCTAGCTGATGTTAGGAGTCTGCCCACCTGGTTTATATTTCTCCCTGTAAGATTAATGACTCTACGATACCGCTGATTTCTGGAGTTAATGCAGGGCACACTTGAGTCTAAGGAGAACTCAGGCTTTATAAAGAGTTATATTCACTCGCACTAAGTTTTCATTTTCTCATTGTGACCCCATTTGAATTGAACCGTTTTCCTACAGAGGGATATTTAGTTTGGTGCATGCATAAAAGGTATCTATGCTATTCTGTGAATTGCTGTCAAAACGAAATAGAAAACATGAAGAGTGTTTATTCTTTCTTCCTGAATGGAAAGTTGTGTTTTCTTTTGACTTCAATAGAAGAAAATCAACTAAAATATACTGCAGGTAAGATAATTCCACCAGTTAATTTGAAGCTCTGTGTAGGAATTTGAGTTATTCTTAAGCCAGCAAGTCAGTGAATAATTTCTTTATATCTTTTCTATTACATAGTGTATTAGCTAAGTGACAAGACTCCTTTTGGAAATCTCCCTCTCACCACCTTCTCCTCCCCATATAAACCATATTACCCACTGGCAGGATTGGGAATTAAACTGGTAGTTTGCCAACTTACATGGTGGAAAAATCTCTTTGGTGGGCCCCCAAAATTAACCCAATAGAAGAAAGAAAGGTGGAAAGAGAGAGAAAAAAGAGCTAACAGTAATTGAAAATAGAGTAACTAGTGTTTTCCTCTGTCTTTATTTATTTCAATGATAGGGGCATAGGTTAGATTACCACAGAAGTTCTCAATCCTTAAACCTACATTTGAGGAGAAGAATGGCTTATATCTTTAGAGAAAATGGCATTCTTAAAATTTAGCATTTCTTTATATATGCGGGTTTTTTTGAAGGGTTAGATATTATTTCTTGGTTAATTTTATTTTGAAAGTGTGTGTTACAGCTATGCTAGTTTATATCTCAGTTATTTAAGGACCCCTCTCTCTTTATTTTGTATATTTTTTAGTAATTTTGAGATTTCCAAACCGCAATAATTCAAAAACTAGACTTCTCAGAGACACAAAATTAGAAGAGTGTGATTTTAAAACAATACTTAAAGGAAAATACAAATCATGATACTTAAATATCACTATTGTACTTTTAAACCCTAAATTATGGAGTCATGGAACTTTTGACTTGGAGTTTCAATTTTCCTATTTTAGAGATAAAGAACCTAAGTCCTTGATAGGTAAAGGCTGAAAGTCAAATGGATGACCTTGTAGTTTCCATGTTTACTTCATTAGATGTAGACACATTAGCTGACTCTCCTGTTTACACTGGGCCTCTGTCCCAGCAGGGCCACCCGGTTTGAATCTCAGCTCTGTTTCATCTCAGTTATCTGCCCTGGGGCAAGTTGTCCTGGCCTGGGAGCCTCAATGTCTTCATCCTCATAATAACCTCAAGAGACCTGGGGAGGCTTACTCAAGATGGCATATGGGAAATTTTTAGCAAGGAGAAGAAATATGATCAATGTGGGTTCCTTCCTCCGACATCCCTCCTCAAGATGGGTGAAGAGCAAACAACTTCGCTACACAGATGGTTATTTTCCAAGTTGTAACTTTCTCAACTGAAAATAAATTTAATGATGGAAGAAGCTACCCTTGATTGCAGGCTTACTGTGGGCAGGGCTTTGGCAAGCTCAAGTTTATATGATCTCATTTAACACTTAAAAAAGAACACCATGGCCCTGGCTGGTTTTGTTCAGTGGATAGAGCATTGGCCTGTGGACTGAATGGTCCCAGGTTTGATTCCAGTCAATGGCACATGCCTGGATTGTGGGTTTGATTCCCAGTAGGGAGTGTTCATGGGGCAGCCAATCAATGATTCTCTCTCATTATTGATGTTTCTATATATCTCTTTCTCTCCCTTCCTCTCTGAAAGCAATAAAAATATAAAAAAAAGAAGAAGAAAAAAGAACCTTATGAAGGGAACTCAGCGGTAGGCAGCAACAACAAGATTTGAATCCAGGTCCCAGGCCTCTCTGAAATCCTGACCCTTTTATATTCTATATATAAAGAATAATGTGTAGATGATTGATGACATGACTATTATTATTGATGTTATTATGATCACAACTGTTTTTGTTGAGTTTACTGACTTCTTGGCCTTGGTATCTAGCTTTTTCTACCTGTTATCTGCCTGAAACTTTCTGAGTTGGTTAACTGCTCTCTTTCAGACTTAAGAAAACATTGATTTTGGTAAGGTCCCTGTGGTGGGAGGACTTTTCCCGTGGTGAGAAGCCACAAGCAAGAGATAAAATCTGGGAGTGAAAGTTCAAAGGAGGCTTCCTGTAGATATCAGTAAGGTATGTGTTCATAGTGGCAGTGCATTTTGTAAACTATTGATTGCACATTCATAACCCTAACCTTTTGGAAATATTTCCCTGTGGGAAATAATTTCATTTTTGGTGGCCACATCAAATGAGAATATTCATATGTTCCAGAACTCTATTCTAGGCTAGTCTTTCTTTTCTTTTTTTCTTTTTTTTTTTTTTTTTTTTTTACAGTTGAGGAAAATGAGGCCCCAGGAGGCACTAAGGACTGTCCAAGAGGTGCTCTACTTCTTATCTATGAATGAAGCCTTTTAGTTCATAGTCTTATTTAAATACAATATTTCTGGTGAGATTAAAGGAACCTCTCTGTGATGGCAAGTCACATGCCAGGTTCATGGAGTCCTTGGGGTAGATCCCCACCAACGCTGACTGCTTACACATCTTCCCATCCCTGGACACATAAGCCAGTCCTGCCATCAAGAAGCCGCTCTATTTTCCCTCCCTTTGAATCTGAGCTGGCTTTGCAATGTGCTTGAACCAAATGCATACGGCAGAAGTGATACCGCGCCAGATCCAAGTTCTGCCCTCAAAAGACTGGCGGCTTCTGCTTTCCTTCTCCTGGAACTCAGCCGCCATGCTGTGAGGAAGCTCCAGCTGAGTGAGATGAGCCTACATATAGCAAAAGGACCCCAGGGAAGGGCAGAGAATCAGGCACCTCAGTCAACAGCCAATACCAAGAGCCCAAATGTGGGAGTGAGGTTGTTTGGATATCCCAGCCCCAGCTGACCACCCAGCATAACGAATGGCTCCTAACCTACACCATGCAGAGCAGAAGGAGAACTGCTCAGCTGGTCCAAATAGTCCACGGGAGCATGGGAAATAACAGCTCACTGTTGTGTAAGCCATTCCATTTTGGTGTGGTCTGTTATGCAGCAATGGCTCACTTAACGGTAAATCATTACTAGAGAAGCTGAAGTTGCGGTTTAGTGCTGGGTTGGCTGAGAGCCAGAAATCCACACCAGCTCTCCTGTCCTAAGGTCACGGTAGGACGAGACCCAGGGTAGCCATGAACAGGTCCTGCTGTTGGAGTGATTTCTCTTGTTACCGATGGGAATATCTGAGAGTAAAAACGCTGGTGGCCCACTTAATTTCAGCCATGATCAAAGTGCTTCAAATGCAACTTTCCTGTAGTGGAGTCAAGGTCTATTTATTTTCAGTTGGATTTTGTTTGCTCTGGTTGATGGAGATGCCCAGTCTGCTCTTCCTCAGCTGATAGGTCCTCCCGCTATCCCAGGCCCTGTGACAGGTGTTTAGATAAGGGCTCCCCTCCAGGCTAGCAGCTGGCACTAATCTCACAGGAAGAAAGGTCTATGCTTGCAGTTATGATTACCCAAGGCAATGTAAGCATGTTTCCTAAAAGTAGCAAGTTCAGAGCCGGTGAATAGTTCAATTATTCTACAGCAGGGTATCCCCACTTCAGCCCTGTTGACATTGAATCTTCATAACCCTTTATTGTAGGAGACTGTTCTGTGCATTGGAAGCTGTTCAACAGCATCCCTGGCCTTTTGCCCACTAGATGCCAGTGCAATCTGCATTTGTGATGGCTGAAAATTGGCAAATGTGCCTGGGATGGGGGAGAGTTGTGGGTAAGAAATCATCCTGGTTGAGAACGCTGGTCTAAGGTGATCCCAGAGATTTCATAAACATCTGAGGAGTCCCTGTAGGTGATGCAGAGAGTGGCCTACTAGAAACTTGAAAGGCCAATTTTGTAACCCCACAGCAGCACTGGGGACCCCCAGAATACCAGCTATTGGGGAAGTAGATACTAGAGGGGAAAACATGATACTAGGACGATGATAATTTCAAATCAAATTTTGGAGAAAGCACTTCTTCCCCCCCCCCCCCCCCAAATAGATGTAGACACATTTCGCCTGCTGGTTGTCATTTATTTATATAAGAGGAACAACATGCACTCTGGGACCAATTAGATTAGCTGGATGAAAAAACCTGCTGCTTCTGTTCCCAAGTCTCCTCTGTGGCCATATTCATCCTTGTTGGGAAGTTAAGCTCTCATTCTCTTCCTTTTTATATTTTTCACTTTCCTATAATTATCTCATAGGAAACATCTTCCTCCAAGCCTCTACTACAAGATTGTTTGAGGATTGATTTAGGAGTGAGCAACTCTGAGATAACGTTCCTTGATTCTTGGACAAGAGTATCTAACAGAAGGAGAGCTTGGAGGAAATTTCCATTTCAGTAATGATAACCAATCCAGTCAGGGAATGAGGAAAACTCAACCACATGCTGTAATATAGAAGTGCAACTCTGAAAGGCTTTAATGGGGTGTTTTGTCTGCTTGGCTCAAAAGGGGGCAGAAAACTCAGCTAGAGGCAAGACCATTCTCCCTCTCCATCCCCTGGCTCTCTATGGAGACCTGCAGTTCAGGTTGAGGGAAATGAGCAGGCCCTTTGTATTCAGATACCAACTACTGGCCAAGATAAGCAAACTACTGGAGGTTGGCTGCATGTCCAGGTAAGGACACCCAGGTGCCCATGGTCAATATCTACTAGAGTTGTAAAGGCAAAGAGCATTTTGCTGTTGAATCACCCAGTCCCCTAAGCCTTTGAAACTATGGGCAGCTACAGGTAGAAGAAAGAATCAATGCAAATCAGCAATGCCCAGTGAAGATATTTCTGAAGAAGCCTTCACAATCTTGCCAGCTTCCAAGGTACTCTGCCATATGTATAGTCATTAAAGAGACAGGTGACTCAAGGCTTGAGAGCTCACATTCATAGCTTAGCTCAGACCCCTCCATCATATCTAAATCTCACTCATTGTTCCCTCTTGCTGGCGGAGGTCAGCCTTTCCCCATTTGTCAGCTTGCTGTGGGCTTCTTAGTGTTGAGATGTCTCCAGTTATTTACATACCTGTAGACGCCCTCCACCATGATGAGGATCTTTTTCCAAGCTCTGCGGGTTCGAGGCTGGCCATAGATTACAGCATCTCTCAGGAGCTTCTCTAGGCTTTGCATGTCTTTAAATAGTACCAAAAAAAAAAAAAAATTGAGTCACCAGAGGAATTTTTTTTTCTTCCTCCTCATCATTTTTGGGGAGGTGGCAGATTTTTTAGGCTCAGGCTGAGACCTGAATTTTCAGAAAACAAAGTTGGAATCAGAGAACACCTGGGGAGCAGAGGGTAAGGTAAAGGGGTCCTCTTTTTAATACAATTGGAGTCTGACAGGTGACAGTTGGATTTTCATAGCAGGCAGAATAAACCTCTACTGAAGGCACATGACTTCAAAAGCTCTTAAGAGATTCTCCTTTCAGAGAAGGAAATTCTACATTAAATGCATCATTTATATGTATGCTTTCTCACTTCCTATGCTCCGGGAGCCTCCAACTTCAGAGTTGTCAACACTTGAAGGCAGTGGGACAACCAGCCTTTCTTTGCAAAATATTTGGAGACTTCCGGACACATTAATAATAGCTGACAATTACTGAGCCTTACCTGCATTCCTCCGAAGCACATTCTTGGTCATAACTCATTTACTCCTCTCAACGAGACTAAGGAGGAGGTATCTGCATTTTTTGTGTGAAGAAAACTGAAGCATGGAGAGGTCTGCTAAATTGCCTGAGGTCTATGATCATAAAGAGGAGAGCCAGGATTTGAACCCAAGGAAGTCCTGTACCTGTACACATTTGTAATCACTACCTTTTCTGTCAGAGCCGCTATCCCTCCTTATCACTCTCCACAGTGACGTAGAAGGAGGAAGGATGAATGTCTGCTAGATTTTTCTTGTTAATTTTGGATGTCAAATATAATAAGCAGTGGCTTTTCATTTGTCTGCAATCATATGTAGGTGACTGGGCTTTGGCTGACAGACCCTTGGGAAAGATTTGCCTACCAACCCAGCTGTGTGTGTGTGTGTGTGTGTGTGTGTGTGTGTGTGTGTGTGTGTTTAACCTGCAAATCCTAGAGAGAGAGAAAGGCAAGGTTTATGTGCATGTATTTTTACACTCATTATATTACTAAATATTTCTTTGCCCTCACTAAGCTCTCCCTTTTTGAGGATCTGAGCCTGAAGTACATTAGACCTAGAATCCAAGGTTAATTGGAAAAGATAGGGATGCTACAGAACTGCTGATCTGACTGTTATATAATGGTCAGTAGGCATTAGAGATTCCATTTAAAATGCTCACAAAGAGAAAGCTGGCAAAGATAAATCTAACAGAGCACAGTCAACATTGGTTTTAGCCACTGCACACAAGCTCTCAAGAGGCAGGTATTCACCTGCTTATCACTGGCCCAGGCTCTAGTTAGCTGAGATTTTTTATCTCAATGGAGAACCCTCAACTTTGTCTTTTAGTCCCCAGTCTGTGGTTGGATCTCTGCTTTCAGGTTTCCCCCACAGCTGGGTGAATGCATCAGCTGGTGCACTTACTTTTCCACACAGCAACCAGGACACCCGCAATGAGGCCACAAGGTATTCCTTTGAGATAAAATTGTGGAGGGGGTCGGGGAACTAGTTATATAAGGTATTTTTTAATTGCTCAAGTACATTTGAGCTAACCACATTCAGAATGGCATACAACTTAAAACTTATGAATTGTTCATTTTTGGAGCTTCACATTTAATATTTCAGGTCATGGTGGACTGAGGGTAACTGAAGCTGCGGAAGTAAAACCATGGGTAGGGGGGACCACTGGAATTACCGAATGCAGCCTCAAAGGCCCTTCCTGACTTTGCTTCTGCCTAGCTCCCTGACACCATCTCTCAGCATTCCCCAACACCTAGCTCCTAACTCCTCTATGCCTTTCCCTCTTGTCTGTCTGGAGAATTCCCAATCACACCATCAACCTTAACTCATAATACAGATTTTCTTTCTTTTTGGTGTCCCTGACAACTCATTTATTCTTTTTTAAAAAAACTCATCATGCTTCTTATTATTTGATTTCATGGCTCTCCTCCACAGAAGGCAGGAACATTATTTTATTCATTCTTATACCCCTGGTCCTGATGCACAGTATTAGTGCTAAATCCATGAATGATCATGGAATCCTTTGCCTCTTCATGAAATAGAATACAGACCAGAGAACAGGAAAGCAAATGACATTTTAGAACTAACTATGACTTATTAGAAAAGCCTCATGTCTGCAATAATATTTACTTAATTAACTGTTTTTGCTTTTGCTTTGAAGAGTCCGTCTTCACAGATGTAGTGTTTTATTGGCACTATGTCATTCACCACTAGATGGCAGCCAAAGAAACCAAAAGCAGCTTTCTTATTTTGAGAATTTCAGGGATAATAAACCTTCCCCTGCACTGACATCTTGTTTTCACTTTTGCTTTGCTGTTAGGATGTTGAAGGAATCCAGGTAAGTGGGGGAACCAATCCCATTTTCTATAATCTACCACAAGACTGCTAGTCTATGAAAGGGATGAAGAGATGATGAATATGAGTACTTCTGCTTAGTGTTTTTTCTTCTGGGACTTGAAATTTATGTTTTGTACAGAAATAACACGATGAATATAGATCCAATACCAAAGTAATAAAAACATACCCAAGAGAACAAATTTAGCAGTCATTTAAAAGTGAATATTCAGACCACGTGGTGTGGATCAGTGTTTGAAGCAGCAGGTCATGGTTAGATTCCTGATCAGGACACATTCCTGAATTGTGGCTTGATCCCCAGTAGGGAGCGTTCAGGAGTCAGACAATCAATGATTCTATCTCATAATTGATGTTTCTCTCTCTCCCTCTCCATTCTTCTCTGAAATCAATAACATATTAAAAAAATAAAAATGGATAATCTAAATTTTCAAAATCTGGACATAAGTAGATTTTTGTATGATTTATGCAATCAAAAAGACATAACTTAGTTCAGGATTAAATTTAAAATGGATTCTGCTAAAGAAAAGAGAACTTTCTCTCCTTTTTTTTAATAACAAGTGGGACCTGAAAACAAGCCTTTTTGTGGCTGGGGTGTGATTTATGTGTTTTGCAGATGGAAGGCAGATGAGTCCCGGCCCTTGGCAGGGGCCTCCTGTGCTCAGTGTGAATGGAGAGTTCCATGGGGAGAGGCTTTTGGTGGAATTTCACAGAACCCCTTGTGTCCACACCCTGGAATCCTTGAGCAGAGGGAAAAGCAATCAGCCATTTTCCCCTGCAGGGGACAAACACGCTGACCTCTTTTAATCACAGAAACAAGACAGAGAAAGGGATGACTTCACTTAGCATGGGCTTCTGGACCCAAATTAGCATCTGGGTGGTTTCTCTAATTCTTAAGGTCTTGCTCTATCATGTTCCAACCCGTGGCTCACAGACTCAGAAAGTTCTGGAGGTTGATGCTTATGTTCTGCAGGCCTTCTGAGATTCTATTGTTTTAGCAAGCCCCATACTAACATCTGTAAGAGATTTTTAAACACTGATGTTTATTAGAGCACTTATGCTTGCATTATGTTAATCCTCATGGCGGCTCTGAGAAGTAGGGAAGAGTGATTAGGTGTCTGTTTTTCCAGATGAGCAAACTACTGCCAGAAGGTTTATAAAACCAACAACTACAAATCTCCAAAACAAAAACAAATCCCAAATCCAAAGAAACCACCACTTTCTTATCAGGGTATAAAGAAAACTCTGAGATTCGGAAAACATAAGAATAAATTTGATGCCATCAAGGTGCACATACACAGCTCTATTGTGCAACGTGGTTATAAAGTTATAATCACACACTGCAGATTTGTAATCACCACAAACTTAAGTATCAACAATGCCTTGGACATTATTGGTCACTAAGTCTGTCTCACCAAGACTGTTTCCTTTGGTTTGTGAAGGGCTGAGAGGAGCCAGCTGTCTGGGAGGCTACTGAATGTATAGCTATCAAAAATGAAAGCATGAGACCACATTCTGGTATCCAGTGAATAGCCAGGCATGGGTACTGGACTCCTGAATTACTAAATATTGGAGTACTCCAACTCTGTGCCAATACCTAGAACAAGTCTTGGGTGACAACTAGACTTTAAGAGTTTGTTCTTGGACCTGTCCCAAATTTCTAGCCTCTGTGATCTGGGAAAGCTGCAGATAAGATCCTGTGTAAAGAGGGCACAAGGAAACAAAGAAGCTAGCCACAATCTTCTAAGCAGAAATGTTGGGTGTAGTTTGAAGAGTGTCTTTCAGAAGATAAGAACTGGATATTTGGCTTTGCTGTACAGGGAAGGCACTGTTTCTTCTGCCAAGGCTTCCTCCTTCCTCTTCTCTTATGCAATTGAGCTTGTGTTGAAACATAAGCACTTCCTTCACTGCCCATCCCTCAACGCCCTTTTCCTCCCTGAATCCAGGACCCCTGGTCCTAGTTGGCATGAATATCAGCTTCCACTTTTCATATGCTGCCCAGTCTGGTTGATGGTCCATCCATCGTCATTCAAAGCTACACAAACCGTACCCCTAGCTGCAGTTAGATAAACCCTCTGGTTCTCTATTCCATGGGCTGAGTGCCAAAAATACACTCATGTCTGCAAATGATAAGCACTCAGCAGCTATTGCTTCAGTAAAATTATGGTTGGATGATGAAGAAAGGCTACCTGTTATTTTTAAAAATTACTTGATCCCCATCTTTTCTCCCATTCCTTTTATTTCTTCAGAGATATCCAGTTTCATCCTTCAATATTGAACCCAAATGTGATATACTAAGCAATAGGTACTTAAATAAGTGAACAATGATAAAGAAATAAATTTTTACTCTTAAGACCTCCCCTTACTTAGCCTTTGGTGGAAAACATTATAATAATGGCCAGCTTTGGCAAGCACAGCAAATGTTTTCCTCAAAGTCACATTTATAAAGGCTCTTTTTCACAAGATCATCGAGGACTCTGATGCATTGAAAATTCGGTGCTTTAAATTTTGCAAAGCAGATTGGGCAAATACTATGCTGTTCTGGTTTCCCTGATGATGGCTCTATAAATATGTGGGCAGGTGTTTGTTAGGTCAATGAAGCAAATGCTTTTCTTGGAAGAGTGCAAAAGGCAGCTGGGAGCAAGGACCTGGACTGGGTTGGAGAGTAAGACAGGTACTAGGGCAGGGTCTGTGTACCTTGGGGAGCGGGAGGGTTCATATCTGCAAATCTGAATTGGGGAAATGGGATGAAGAACAGGCAGAGCAGGAAGCATGTGCACAGTGTGCCCCATGCACTAAGGCCCAAGGCAGCATGTAAGGAAGGCTTTGATTCTCAGGAAGGGGCCTGTAGAACTAGACAAAGTACTGAGATGGGATCTCTAAGTGAATGGGGTCAATACAGGAAGGTGAGATGTAACTCAGGAAACAACAGGAAAGCTCAGAGGTTAGTTCTGGGATACTGAATCTTGGGTCAAGGTGCCAGCAAGGACAACTGGAATGAATGCTGGCTGAATTATTTGAAACCAACTGCTCTGACTCAAGGTAATGGCTTATAAAGTAGTCAAAGTGATTTCTGTAAGTCTGACCTTCAATTCCAATAGCCCTCATGAGCCTTCCTTGAGCAGATGAGGTAGAACTCAGAATATTCTCAGTAACACTGCACTCTTTGTTCTTCCTTCTCTTGGCCATCAAATGCCTCTAGGTAGAGTCTCACTTCTTCTTCTCCACTTTCCCCCTGTAAACCATTCCAAATTCTTGGCCTGCCCAGCCCATTGACCTCATGGCAACTCCCCTAGCTGAAAATACTGCTTCTCCTCTCCAAGGCTAGCTAAAAAAGTCCTTTGTGGCTCACTTGAGGACAGAGATGGTCTACAGCCTCTCTATTTCCTGTGTGGTCCTGCACCAACAGCATTGACGTCACCTGGAAACTTGTCAGAAATTCAGAAACTCAGGCTCCACCCAAGATCTACAGAGTCTGCATTTTAACAAGACCCTGAGTGACTCCTCTGTACAGGAAAATCTGAGAAACCTTGCTCTGGAATCCAGATTATATGTAATTACCAGTAAAGTGAGCAGATTCAGGGGGAAAAATCACTCTGTCTTGATATATCCTAATTTCTAACAGAAGATATAACTTTCTAGAGGGTTAAACCTTATACAAGGATTTGAGGTCCTGGCATGCTCAGGGTGTTAATATACTCAGTCCAGGGGATGTGTTTACCAAAGGCAAACAAATGCCCCAATTTTCTCAAATACACTAAAATCCTAGTGAAGGTCAAACTTGCTGCCTGGTTGGAGCTGATGCCTTCGCTTAGGGTGTGCAATGCTGGAGAGCCTGTTTTGTGCCACCCAATGAGTCACAACAAATGAAAGATTGACTATTTCACTGAAGCTTCCCACAGTAGAAAACCCAAGGAGATATTCTTAGCACTGAGCCAGAGGAATTCAGAAGCCAATGTCAGCAATCTGGGTTGAAATTCAGGCTAATAACAGGATAAACCATAGACTGATTTTTACACAAAGACTCACAGCCCTCTGGGTCCCACATATGTCCTGGCAGTAGCTAGAGGAGAGCATTTGCATATGCTGTACATACCCTGCCTATATCCCTCAGCCAGCTCCTTATTGCATAGATAGGCCATTCTTGGTCCAAGAATTTTTTTCAGGCTGTGGGAACAAACTCAGGCTGAGTAGGGACAGCTTTCAAGTGTGAATTGGTGGATAAATGCCCCAGCTACCTTCCCCACTGAGAATGAATAACACTGAAGCAGGTCTCCGCAGCCTCTCATAGTTTCCTAGTAGGACTGAGCTCCACTTGTCTATTGGGGTAACTTGCTTGACAACATGCCCAGGACTGGCTGCCTTTCCTTCTCTGTCTCCACTCTCTGCTCACCTGCTGGTGCTTCCTGGGATCACTTCCTGAATAAGTGATTGGCACCCAAACCCTTGTCTCAGGGTCAGCTCCTGGGAGAAATGAACCAACATGAGAGCAATTTCTGAGTAGCTGTAACGAATGGACTCATTTGAGGCTGAACTGCATAATTTTATTTGAATATTTAAAATAAAGTTGTTTCATAGGGCTCTGACTAAAATTGTTCCCATTATATGGTTTCACTAAATCATTTGTATTTCATATTTGTGTTTGAACAAAAATATGGGAAAATCTCCAATGTTATGTTCACATTGTTGGCATCCACTCCATATATCCAAGGATAAGAGCAATCTTTTTGATGACTCTCTATGGAACTAGAATGTGGGTGATGATTACCCCATATTTCAGCATTAGCCAATAGGAAAAGAAGCACTTCAAGCCAAATTTGCCCCATTCCCCCAAAAAGAGGGTCTATAATATGATGGGCAAAGCCTGATATTCTTTGGCCATGGGAAACTGTCTCAAGAAGCCGCAGACAAATCTTATTTTCCTCCCTGACCTATGTGTTGCAGGTTCTTGAGTTTTTTTGTCCTCATGTAGACCAAGAATTGCTTGTCTTCTAACTTTGACTTTTTTGCCAGTGACCATGAGAATAAAGTTGGCTTAAAGAACTCAGGTTCTGCTGAGCCATTCATTTTAGAATGAACTATTCATTCTAGATTCAAAGAAAGAGGAAGTAGAAAGTCATGCTTGGGTGTTTAGCTTCTACACCAGCAATGGTGGCCAGAGAAGATATATAAGTTATCTATTGTTATGTAACAAATTATCCCAGAACTTAGAGGCTTAAACCAACAAACATTATCTGGTAGATTTTGCAAATTAGGAATTTGTGAATCTTAGCTGGGTGTTCTGGCCTATAATATATGTGAGGCTGCAGTAAAGATGTTGGCAGAAAATCAGTCAAGATGTCCTCCTTCAATGGTTCTTGGCTGCCTGAATGTCCTCATAAGTGATCTGAGATGCAGAAGCCTACAATATCTTTAGAACATAATCTTAAGAGTGACGTGTCATCTTTTCTACTGTATATATTTTAAGCACACAAACCAATCTTGAGACAATGCAGAAGGGGGTTATACAAGATTGTTACATTTAACCATATATATGGATGGAACTACAGTCAAATACTTGCCAGCTGTTCTTTATTTTTCCCCAAGTAGAGAAAATCTCTGATCACCAATCACTCGTCATGCCAAAGAATCAAAAGGGTATAATTGTGCTAATACTAAACCACATTTTCTGTTGTCTCTCTTTTTCTCTCTCTTTTGTTAATCCTCATCCGAGGGTGTTTTTCCATTGATTTTTAGAGAGAGCAGAGGGAGGGGGAGAAACCCAAAGAGAGAGAGAAAAACATTGATGTGAAAGACACATCAACTGGTTGTCTCCCACACACTCCTGACAGTGCAAGGAGTCGAGTCTGCAACTGAGGAAAGTATTCTTGACCTGCAACCCTTAAATGTTCTATCCACTGAGCCAAACTGGCTAGGACTCTATGATCTCATAATAAATTTATTTCTTAAACTCCTAAAAGTTGTATACTCAAATAATGAATTTTCAAAACTGTCAACATAATTTGAATCTGGATGTGTCAATCAATGGTAAATGAAACAGAACTGGAGGAATGTAACTTGACTTATCATCGACTAGCCAACATTGACTGTTTGATGAAAAATAAAGAAATGGAGACAGATATTTTAAATTAACATGGATTTGGCTATCATAATTGGGCTAGGTTGGAGGGACCTCAAGTCTAGTTCTTCCGGAGGACTGGTTCTGAACTGGACCCCAGAGTACTCATAACATACAACTGCTGGAGGTGGTTCAGGAAAGGCTTAGCCAGACCTCATCCTACTCAGTGAAAGCAAGAGATTTTTCATTAGAAAAACTGCAAGTTATAAAGGAGATTCACTTTAGAACTCTTCCATTCTTTTGTTTTTCTTCGCATGTGGCAATTATTCTTTGGCTTGATATTTCTGTGCGGTGAACAAAACAACTGGAACAATTCTCCCTCAGTTATCTATCACTTTTCTTCTCCTCACTTTAGTCTTTGAACTTCCTTGGAGCATGGAGGGAAGTGTTAAGGAGAAGGAAAAGGAAACAGTTGAGAGGAGGGGGAAGCAGGAGAGAAAGGTGGGGAAAAGGAAGAGAGAGGAAACAAGAATGCGTGTGAGTGTGTGTGTGTGTGTGTGTGTGTGTGCACATGTGCACACAATGAAAGAAAGGAAAATTCTGATCATAATAATGAATTAGAATCAGAAACTAAACCAGGGGCATCCTTGTACACTGGATAGTTCAACACCCTTATTTTCCAGCTGAGAAAACTGAGTACATGAATGATTAAAGGATTTACATAAGGTGATATAACAAGTCAGGGGCACAGCTAGACAATAGAACACAGGTGACCCCCACTTTCTCCTTTTAAGTATTTCCTAGGCTGCCCCATCAGTCTGTAAGAATAAATAGCCTCTGCCTCTTCCTCCTCATCCAACCACACAACTCAGAGCCTGAAAGAGCATTTCAATCAAGTCGAATAAACCGTGTGCGTGTGTGTGTGTGTGTGTGTGTGTGTGTGTGTGTGTGTGTGTGTGTGTGTGTGTGTGTGTGTGTGTGTGTGTGGTGGGGAGAGGTTGTCTGAGTCTGAAGTGAATGAGGATAGTGAAAAGAAGCATTTTGATAAGGAAGATGCCTTTTTTACCTGATTATAGCATATAACTTAAACAAGTCTTCAAATTTCCCAAGGCAGAGTAATGGAAAAGGAAAAGTTGTAACACTCCTGATAATTAAATGGTAATTCTAAGAGATCAGTCATGTCTTCAGAGGCCATACTGCAAGGCCACTAATAACAGTGACACTAATGTGTTTGGGTTGTACTTAACAATCCGAGTGTTTAGTGCACTTCAACCATTTGTTCTGGGTCAGCAGAGGTTAACAAGCCAGTAGTGAATATAAACACAATTGTGTTTCGTTAGGCTAAGCTCCAGGTTTGAAGAGCAAGGACAAAGCCCCATCAATCATTTTTACGTCCTTCTAGAAACATGTGGTACATGTTGGATAAATATATTAATACTCACTGTTGTGTTTGAAGATCCTTATGGTTGCACCTGAGAGTCGGGCCCCAAGCACAAGAGATGCGTGATTTAACTCATCACTTAAAATGAGGCATCCCTGTTTACAAAAAACACACATATGACACAGGTCAATAAATAAAGTTAAGGAGAAACAACATGTGGGAACAGTAAGGTATTTTGAGACTTGAAATATAGACTCGTGCACCCACTTCAGTTTTAAATCTAGTGTCTTTATGAATAAATGCTATTCAGCAATTGGCTGATGGAGTTGGGGGTTGTTTTAAGGGATTACATCCTTGAGTCACTTACACTTAATTTTCAGCAGAAAAAGTCATTTGAGATCTTGGTTCAGCAACAGCTGTTGTATAAAGAATTGATGTTTGACAGGAAAACCGATACACTTTTGGATGGGTTGGGGACTTGCTGGGGCCCTTCAATCCCATGCTATAATAGATTAATTGGGACAGTTTTGGTGTATCCTTTGGAAAGGCAGGGTCTTTTCTTTCTTATTCTTCACTGTACTGACATTCATGCAATAAGAGCATCACTGCTTGACAGTTAAAAACATTGCATTTGGAAAAGTATGAATGGCAATTCAGTCTGAGGCCTGTGGAAAAGCCCAATATAACTTACTGCTTATAAATTACAATTTATAAATTTAGGTTTCCTTTTGAATGAAAATATTATAAATTTTGAAATTGCGCAACCATACCCAAAATGTAGAGATTAACTATGGTGGCCATTTGTCTTCCATAGCCAATCAGAATCTGGGGGTTCATCCTTATATTTTGGAAACTTCATACATAACATATTTTGAGTTTTTGAGGCAAGTGTCATCACATTCCTATACTCTATACTCCAGACATGCGTTATTTTTTAGGTGAACATTTGAGAGTTACTTGTAAACCTCATGATACCTCACCCTGAAGTTCTTCAGCATGTTTTTATTAAGAATAAGAGCATTCTCCTGCAAAATCACAATGTAATCATCACACCCAAGAAATTAAACTTTTATATATTATGTAATATATAGCTCAAAATTATGTTTCCCCGAACTGTCCTAACACTGTATTATGTCTTTTACAGATATATTTTCTTCTATTTTTTAAAATACATAATCCAATCAAAGGCTATACATTAATTTAGTTGTCATGAGTCAGATTTCTTAAAAAACGTAAATCTGGTTATGGCACTTGATTTTACTTAAAATGAACCAACCTACTCCCCATTTTTTCTCAGGAAGAATTTCAAAACTTGCACATGACTTACACTGCAAGACTTTGCAACTTGGCATCTGCCATCATCTGTAGTCCCTTCTCCATCCACTACCCTATACTCTAGTTCTTCCCAACCTAAGCCTTTACCCATGCTGTTTCCTCTTCCTAATCTTTAGGAAATAACTTATCTATATTAACAGATGAGTAAAGGATTCTCATTTCACCCACTTTGAATGAGATTTTTCAAGAAGAGTTTGAAGGCAACTTCTTGTCCTTCCCCATGTATATACATGCCTTCTCTGTGTTAAGTCATCCTACTTTATTTGGTGTGTTTTTTCTCCATTAGAATGTAAATTATGTAAATTTACAAGGCACAAGTCTTGTTCATCTTTGTATGTCCTGTATCTTGCCTCACAACAGGACATAGTCAATTCTCAATCAGTTATTTATTGAGTGAATGAATAAATGAATGAATGGTTCCAGCAAAATGTTTTGTTCAAATAAATGCTGAACAAGTATTGTCTTCATTATAGATAATGAGTAGGGAACCTACAAATTTAATTGATTTTGCTAAGAAATAAACTCATTTTGCATGAAAGATGAAATTTGACTCACACCTGGGGCTGCCATTCTATAATCAGACTATAACGATGAAGAGATTTGCTGGACTAAGCTAGTACATTTATTTTAAAAGTTGGACAGCCATTAGGCTTTTCCTCAGATAAGGAACTTCTGAGCTATATCTCTAACAAAGGGCCTTCTCAATTATAATTCTTAGGAAAAATACAACAGAAGATAAATATGTTAACAAATTCTCACCTTCCCAACTAATGCAGGAATATTCATTGAATTAGTTGCAAATCCCATCCCAAAGACCATGGCTGCTTCTACCTTCAGGAACTGAGCCACAAGGTCCTCCAACTCTTTATGCTTATCCAAGGTTCCTGCACACAAAATAATAGGATGAGTGAGTCTTCTCTTTCACAAAAAGTCTAATAATTAAAACTCAAATTCCAGTATATACCCATCAACAACATTTATCTATATATTTTGGTGATGCATAGCAGGTTTATTTACTATGTAGACCCCATACAGAAACAACCCAAATGTACATCTTCTACAGAATGAATAGATGCATCATGGGAATATCTATATAATCAGATTCAACACTGCAATGAGAAAGAACAAATTACTGTACAACACAACTTAAAAAAATCTCACAAATTAGTGATTGAGTAAAATAAGTCAGATACTTATATACTCAAAGATTGTATGAGTACATTTATATAAAATTTACAAACAGATAAAACCAACCTATTATGCTGGAAGTCAGGGTGGTGGTTTCTTTTACTGGGAGCATGAGAAGCAAGTTTTTATTTCTAGATCTGGGTGCTAGTTACATGTATGCTTGCTTTGTGAAAATCCATTGAGCTAAATCCTTGTGAATGGTGTACTTTCTATATAAATACCTTGTGATGCAATAAAAACTACAAAAAATTCACTCCATAATTTCTTTCTCTCCATACCCTACATCTCATAAATAACTGATTAAATGTTAACCCCTCAGAGGTTCCCCATACTCACATGTAAACAGATTCCATAAATAATTTTTAAAAATATATATTTTATTGATTTTTTTACAGAGAGGAAGAGAGAGGGATAGAGAGTTAGAAACATCGATGAGAGAATCATCAATCAGCTGCCTCTTGCACGCCCCCTATGGGGGATGTGCCCACAACCAAGGTACATGTCCTTGACCGGAATCGAACCCGGGACCCTTGAGTCCAAAGGCTGACGCTCTATCCACTGAGCCAAACCAGTTTCGGCAGATTCCATAAATACTAATAAATCTAGTTATAATTTATGAAACCTCTGGAATGTGCTAGATTTCAAAGCTCACTATTTAGGTTATCTCATTTAATCTTAATAGCCCAGGAATCCAGGTATTATTACTTTACAGATAAGAAAGCTAAAGTGTAAAAAAGAGGTCATAGAAAAAAAGCAATAGAGGTAATCTAGTCAAACTCCAAAGTTCACATTTTTACCACTTTGGTATCTTTTATATGCTTACTTTCTGACCCCTTTCTCTACATAATCCCCTTCATGCCTTACTGAGAGCAAACCTATTGCTCCCATGTTTTTCTTTTTGTCACCACTTGAACTTTTAGATCTGCACGGTCCCATATGGTAGCCTCTGGCTACAAGTAGTTAGTGCAATAGAGAAATTGAATTTTAAATTTCATTTAACTTAATTTAAATTTTTAAACTGAAGCACTATAAAATATTTACTACTCAACACAACTTCATATTTTGATAGGGTTACATTCTACTTATTTCACTTTACTCGATAAAAAATGTAATGTCTGAATTGAGATGTGCTTTAAGGGTAAAATATACACATTTTTAGGGCTTAGCTCAACAATAAAAGTAATGTAAAATGGCTTATTAATATTTTTATATTGATTACATATTTAAGTCATATGTTGGATATATTGGGTGAAAAAATATAAAGTTGAATTTACCTGGTTGTTTTTTTAAAACTTTTTTATGTTTTAAATTTTTTACTATAAAATTTAAATTATAGGTGTCTTGCATTATATTTTTATTAGTAAGTACTGCACTAGATGATACACTTTACAGAACAGAAAAAAATGGACAAGTGGAGAGATTCTGCAATTTGCATCCTTGGGATGTAGATGCCAGATTTAACTCAAATTTAAGTTAGAGCTATATTGTGAGGATATTCATAACTATTATAAACATACTTCTTTTAACCTAATGATTAACATATTTTAGTAAACATTATGTGTTTACTAAACATTACTTTACAGATAAGAAAGCTAAAGTGTAATTAATTTAAATTGGTAAATTATCTTGCTTATTGTGCTAAAATGGGGAAGCATTTAACTGCAGAAAGCACTGAATGGTTCAAAGTTTTACTTGGCATTTAATATGGAAGCTGACGTTTGATGTCCGATCTTTATCTTTTATGAGAAGTAACACTATCATCTAACAGATTACTGGTGGTCTTTCTTTTCAAAGCAGAATTCATCTGTTTTTCAATTGTCAGAAACCATAGTTAACATGTATTTCAGCAGTCAATTTTGCTCAAGATTTGAGGGAAAACATTAAAACTTTAAATTATAATTTAAAACCTTTTCATCATCAAAGATATATTAAATAACAAGAGAAACATAATCATTTGTCAGATTTGTTTTTACCTAACAGAGGCTGCATCCCAAAAGCAATGGCCCAGGAATAAGTAGTGAAGAGACCATTGGCCTGGACATAGGAAGACTTGAGTTCTGGCTCCAGCTTTTTCACAAAACAGTTGAGTGGACTTGCAGTTTCCAGAGAAGCTGGGAGAAGCATTGTTGTAGGTTTTCCTGACACGGGGAGTGCTCTTTCCTCCACATCTATTTTCTTACAGCTCCCACTCACTCTTTGAGATCCACCCAACATGACCTCTTTTCTGGGATTCCATTCTCAACTTCCCCAGGTAAACTTGGTCATTTTCTCTTCTAAGATTGCATAAACTTCGCCGAATAATGCTTATAGCCTTTCAATTGAACTGAGGATGTCCACTGGACCATCTTCTTTGTTACAGTAAGAGCCCGCGGGATACAGATACTGTGTTTGAAATGTTCCTCTTGGCAGCCACGGTGCCTAGTGAAGCATTGACACATAGTACTGGTAGAATTACAAGCTGTCTTTTGATGGAGAATGAAAATAGAACTGAACCTAGAGGAGGTGATGGTGCAGGGAAGGTCAAGAACCATGTAATCTAGGGCAACAAGGTGGCTGGGCAGTGAGCACCAGCTTGAAAATACTGTTTCTCTTTTTATTTAATACCAGTAGCCCATATCTGAGAAGGCCTCCAGCAATGAGGTGGCTAACCAAGCCTTTCTAACTTCATAACTTTCCCCAAGACACTTTCCTGCCTAGAGGGTGAGGGGACAGCTGTGCTCTGGTCCAGTCACCCAGAACTGGGTGCTTAGGAGTTCATAACGAATCTTTGTGAACTCCACCTTTATCTTTCCCAAATCTGACATTTCAGGGGTTTATGTATTATAGTTGCCTCACTAAAACTTTTTAGAATAATGTAGGATGTGTTTTAAGCAACCAAACAACCAACTAATGAGAAATTAGTGTACCTAAGGACATCCTGAGAAATTGCCAACATGGAGATGAGAGGAAATGCAGTGTCTTTATGTGGCCTCCAGAAGCAAGCCAGTGGTGACATGGTTAGTCAAGTAATGTTTAAATATACAAATTTCTATAACCAGATGCCTTACACCTAAGTTATGAGTGATTGTGAATCTACAGGCTTACCTTCATGTGTTGAAACAACAGTTCCCAATTATCATAGAATTTCTTTGTTTAGTGTTCATAGCTCAAATTTCATAAACAGATTTGAAAGATTCCCAGAATGGTTGGCCATTTTCTTATTCAAGAAGTCATGCCTTTCAAAGTTAGCCTGGGTTGGTCTGGGGTGGGGTAGAATTTGTTAATAAATAATAAAAAGTGTGGCTTATTTGCATTGATTGACTGCTAATTTCCTCTTCCTGTTCTTCATATTCAATAAATAAAAGTGTAGGAATACCTTGGGAAACAAAGGAGTAACTAGAAACTTAACTAGTTTGCTTTCCACAAATATTCAATCCATGCACTTTTATTGAATTGAGGAGTCTGAGCCATGCCAAATTATACAATAGTAGGTGGTTGAGTACCTGAGTACTTCTAGAAATTATATTCAATTATTTTTTGTCTGTATATTAATATGAGAATTTTCAATCCCAAGAAAACACAGCTGATAGCATTATAATTAGCTAGGAAAAGAGCTAATTAGAAAAGAAGCAAAGGGGAAAGCCAGACTTTATAAGTATAGCCATTTGGGTATTCTCTCTGCAGGTAATCACCTGCCCCTTCCCTGCAGATCACTGGGAGAAGGGGTCCAACCAAGGGGAGATGGAAACACAGTAAAGTTGGGGTGACACAGGGAAGGTGCCTGTCAGTCAAACCTTGGAGCAGAAACTATTGGCCAGAATGGATAGGACCACTGCAAGCCCATGAAAATGTGGGAATACATAATCTCCTAAACAAAGGAGTTTGCTCTCTTGCTCTTGCTCTCTGGCTCCTTTGGCTTTGCTCCTGTCCAGGTTCTCTCCATAACCACGTAGCCATGTGGCACGTGAATCCCACAGCAATAGATGGATGAACTGCAACTGGGAACACAAACTAAGCTGGCCTGATGCTGGACTGGACACTGCTCTAATGTGAAACAAAATTTCTGGACACTGGCTTTGATTCTAACTCCATTGAAGCTATAGCTACACTTCTTCTACAGTGGGAAAAAGGGAAATGGAACCAGGGATTTCAGGAGTTTAATTTCACAGAAATAAAGCTTTCTACAAGATTTCATCCTTTCATGAGAGTCTCCGAAAATTCGTCTTCTCTGGATATTGCAAAAATCCCACTCCCACTAGCAACAGGTGAGGATGAGGACCGCTCTCCACTGATAACACATTTATTGTCCTAAGACCTAAGTGAAGGTAAAGATAAATTCACAATAATTTTTATTTCCTTTTCTCTCTCAAACTTTAGCTTTAGTCCCTGGAGATCAATAACAGTTATAAATTGGTAGTGGCAATTGCTATGTTTTGCATATATGGACACTTATTCTCATCCTGAACATTCAATTATCCAATTGGATACTGAATAAAAGAATAAATACAAGCTGGGTGTATCCTCTTGCCAGCTCTCTTAGCATTATTTCATGGGCCAAATACTGGGTTTGCAAATATCAGTCAAATCAATAAAAAATCAGACTCAGGGAAAAAATACCTCTATTGTATTTATGGATGATACGCTGCTCCTGGATTTTTACTGACATTTATTGACTAAAACAATTCAGGTATAACATATTGATTGCTGGCCTTCATAT